TGATCCTGAAAAGCCAAAAATCTAAATGATGGAATGTTCTTAAGATTAAGTAATCTTAAGATTTGCTGTGCCTACTGTCGCCTTGTTACTTGATAACTTCAAATAATTTGGATATTTTACCAAAGGGAAATATTTTTGTCTTAAGTTGTTGCAGTTATCTACTGAGCGCAAATAGGAGCAGGTTTCAAACAAGAACTGCTAGATTTACATGACAATCGTGCCAGTATCACTTTTCACGTTCTTTTCCACAGGATGTTGGTGGCCAGGATAAAATACGGCCACTTTGGAGACATTATTATACAGGCACGCAGGCCTTAATATACGTGATTGATGCCGCCGATCGAGAGAGGGTGGATGAAGCTAGACAGGAATTGCATCGAATCATCAACGATCGCGAGATGAGGGATGCAATTATTCTCGTTTTTGCCAATAAGCAGGATCTTTCGGAGGGTAAAATTGATACTTACTACCAATGCAAAAGATTTTGTTCTTTGCATGAGAGTGGTAGATTTTCAAGTTAATCTCTTAGGTCCGACTTAATTTTTTTCTTGGTTAGTGTTCAATATAGCAGAAATTACAGACCTCGGATGCTAAACGTGCTGATCCATCTGTTTAGTATTTCACCAAACGAATTGATGCCACAGCTAGTTTATGACTGTTGCGATTGGAATTCAACTTTATCGGATATGTGGATCTAGATGAGAGTTTATTTGGAGGATTTTGAATTCTGCAGGGGACGCAGCGATACATATGCTAAATCTAGTGCCCAGCTCACGGCCAAGGATTACTTTAAATCGGACAAAATAATTTTTAAAAGATTTTATGCTCTTGAAAAGTTTCAACTTTGATTCATTTTAAGTACATAAATTGTTGTTGTAGCTATGAAGCCTCATGAAATACAGGATAAGTTGGGGCTTACACGAATACGGGATCGAAACTGGTACGTGCAGCCATCTTGTGCTACAACTGGCGATGGTTTGTATGAAGGTTTGACGTGGTTGTCGTCCAACTGTAAGCCTTAGTTGGTTTTCGGTGAACTGTTCAAACTGTAGAGCCACATCAACCACAAATTTGTTATTTGCTTCCTTCTTTGCTTTCATGCACTCATAAGTTTAATGTATGATATAATAATGATTCTGATAGTTAGCGGTTCGTTTCTGTGAAATAATTAACGACTCTCTCTCTTCCTTGTTTTATAAAGCCAAAACAGCAAGATTTTTCTGAGACGCTACGCATCATTACTGTCACTTATATTCGCTCTCATTGTTTATCATGTTCGATCGTGCTGTCTTTCAACTCTTAACAGACTGCGTGATGCTCAGTTGAGTGCTTGTAATAATATTGTCA